TGAAACCTGCCTAAAATATTTTCTGGGAGAAGGAAGAATAAAAGTTTGTTCTTTCACAACAAAACACAGTTCAAATTCCTTTGGAATGGATGGGTTCTTTTGGATGAAAACCCTCCGGTCAGTTACAAATCCTTAGTCACTTGGGAGAATGGGCTCCATACTTTCCCTGTGTCCTTGTGCATAAANCAGGAAGCCCAGAATTAAATTTAATGTTAAGTTACACTAACTATTTTAAATCTCCCCATTGACATGCTTTCTGATTTTCTACTTTAACCACCTGATTGTGAACACACACTTTATTGAAACCTGCCTAAAATATTTTCTGGGAGAAGGAAGAATAAAAGTTTGTTCTTTCACAACAAAGCACAGTTCAAATTCCTTTGGAATGGGTGGGTTCTTTTGGATGAAAACCCTCCGGTCAGTTACAAATCCTTAGTCACTTGGGAGAATGGGCTCCATACTTTCCCTGTGTCCTTGTGCATAAAAATGGCAAATTGAGTAATACTCCACTGTGTATATATACCACAGCCGCTTTATCCATTCATCTGTCGATGGACATCTAGGTTGCTTCCATGTCCTATCTGTTGTAAACAGTCCTGCAACGAACATTGGGGTACAAGAGAAAGATAAATATCATATACTAATGCATATATATGGAATCTAGAAGGATGGTACCAGTGAATTTATTTGCAGGACAGCAATGGAAAAGTTGCTTCCCTTGTGGCTCAGCTGGTAAAGAATCCACCTGCAATGCGGGGGACCTGGGTTCGATTCCTGGGTTGGAGAGATCCCCTGGAGAAGGGAAAGGCTACCCACTCCAGTATTCTGGCTTGGAGAATTCTCAGAGCTATCTGAGGTGCTATCTACAGCGCTGCAGTCCTCATTTTGTCCCAAATAAAACTTCACTTGCAACTGTCACATTGTGTAATTTTTTCAGTTAATACTAGCATAGGGCTTATTTGAGCATCTTTACCAACAGATGCTTATGCTTTAAATTAACACAACATTGTAATTAACTATACTTCAATTAAAGAGAGAGAGAGAAACTTGTTCTCACTGGCTCTGACAAGGTACAAAACGGCATTGAGTCTGACTTGATGACATTAGTATTCTAATATCTGATACGACAAATTCCAAAGCACTGCAATATACAGTCCAAAAAGCCAACCAAAGCACTCTAAAGCTTTAAAAATAAACATTGACACTTCAATTAGGGTAAAGGCCTGGGAAAGAGGAGAAGAATCTGCAGAAGCATCAAAATGAAGCCAGTTTGCCCACCTCAAATCACATTCTTAGACCAGTGGCTCCTACTGGTAGAGTTCTTCAACGCCTTGTGATTTTGTAGCTTTTAAAAGATTTTATGAATTGTGACTAGAACTTGATGCTGTAGCCCAACACTTTCTTTAAAAAGATATGTAGTCAGTGAATCACTCTTTCTAACAAAGAGCCTGGGAAAAAATTAAGGAAGGGCACACAGGAATTTGTGGAATTGGTAACCAATCAGAAAGCCTGAGATAAAGAGTTTCCATTCAGTCTGACCTAGCGATCTTTGAAAACTTAATAAACCTGGAGCAAAGTTATTTGAAATCCCCAGTAATAAATAAAGTGGTTAAATTCCATTCATTCCTGCCTCCGCCTGGAGCTGACGATGAGGTCTTATCTGGGAACACAACACCGAACACTTTAAATCTCTGCCGGAATCTGCCTGCCCTGGGAGGCAGCCGGCAGTAAGAAGGGAGAAATTTCCCAAGTGCCTTATCTTTACAATTTGTGATCTCCAGCAAAGCTGTCATATTTTACTTCTATCAGCACTAGAAATTAAGGAGCAAGCCTTCCCAGATGGCAGGGGCTACAGATGTTGGCAATAAATATATAAATGAAATAAAAATAGAAATTAAAACAAATTTAAAAGAAGCGCCCTAAATGCACAGCTAATTGACAACAGGCTTATTAATGCAAAGGTAACCTGTCCAAAGTTTGAGTTTCCTTTAAAAAGCCTAAATATATACTAATGCCTATTTTAAGACCATTTGGTCTACAGCAAAGAATATTTAAAAATGTAAACAAACTAATTTTCTCTTTTTTCCTACCTACACATATCAGTTTATTCCGATCTGAATAAGGAAAAAGAGCAAAAGCCAACATTTCCTCTATTTCAAAAACATTCAACAATTGCTTTAGACAAAAACTAGTACCTTCAAATCCTAAAAAGCTAACCCACATTCTAAAATAATGGATTTTCATTTACTTAAAAAATCAAATCTATTAATGTATAAGAGGAATTCATCTCTGAAAGAAAAACTGTTTCTAATGAGTACTTTCTTTAAGGTTATACTCCATTTATAGTTATTATGAAATATTGGCTATGTTCCTCATGTTGTACAATGTATCCTTGAACAAAGTAATTTTCAAACACAACTTCATGTTTTGATCATACTAAATCCACAAGCCAAACAAGAACTTTACGCCTATTGTGCTATTATTGTGACCTATAGCCAAGATTTCTCTGCTGTTAGGAAAAGTGTGGAAAGCTTGTCCTTGGGCACAGCGGGCGGAGGGGGGACAGAAATGACCACTTTACATGCCCCAAATGGATTTCACTTGGCTGTCTGTCCATGCCCTGTTTACAGGCAAAGAGGAGCTGGGAGGAGGAGTGAATTGCCAGGTCCTAGTTTGTATTCATTTATTATTAAGTACTAGCAAATACTTAATGACTAAACACACACACACACACACACACACACACACACACACACGCAACAGACACTAAATCGGCCACTTCTTTCTATATTAGTCTTTTAGGCCTTTTTTCCCCAATGATGTTAATCGCAAAACACATCTTTTTCATCCTTAGACCCAAAAGAAGTGCTTGACAAAAATACAATCCATTTTATTACAAACAGAGGCACACAATGCTAATAAACACACAAGTTTCACAGTTTGTGCTAAATATTACGTCTCATTGATTTTGAGGGCGTGTGGTTTTACTGGGATTCGATAGCTCTTAATGTTGTGGTCCTGGATCCTATGGGCTCATAGCCTGTGCATGTGTACACAGATATGTGCACAAAAATGCATGCAGTGGGCAGAGAGTGATGTCCGGATAGCAGGACCTGTGGGGACGTGGTCTCCATAGGCTCGGTCAGCACATTTACAAATGGTCTTTGATGGGTTCGTTCACAGATGCCCAGGGATAACCAGAATTCGATGTCCAGAAGCTCCCATATGCCGCGCTTCCTTTGCTGCTTGTCCACAGCCTCTCTGCATTTCTGTGCTCCCTGTGTCCTGGAAGCTGATCTCTGCAGGGGGCTTTGTCCGGGGCAGCTACTTCCCTTTGACTTCCGGGGGTTTCGGCCCACGGCAGCTCCTGGCAGCAGATCTGAAGGCAGCCGAGTTCCTCCCTGGCTCCCATCAGGAGCCCCTAGACTGCCTGCCAGGTTTAGGTTCAGAAGTGGCTGTGGGTTCCCACTGATGCCCCAGAGATGCTTTACTGCCCGTTGTTGGGTTCTCTGCCCACATCTTTGGATAAGGGACTTTCATTAAACCCTTTGCAGTTACCACTTTCCAATGTCTTCTTTTACTGGCACATACATGTAGATGTATAGTTTAAGAAAGATAACTGTACTTAAATATATATATATATATTTATCATCTAGTAAGAATAGTAAAATTTTAATTGATAATTCCTGACCCCCAACCCCTTGATACAATGTATTGTACAATACTGAAATATGAGAGTGATTAATAAAGGCTAATAATATCCTGTATTGAGTACTTAGGTGCTCAATGTTTTACATGTATGATCTCACTTAATCCTTATTACCACTCCAAAAAGTGAGTGTTACTATCCCCATCTTCCACACCAGGAAACCAGGGCACANGTGATCAAATTCACATCCCCCACATTGAAAGGTGGATTCTTAACCACTGGACCGCCAGGGAAGTCCCTCCCATCACATTGTCTTGCTATCTACTCTGTAACTTCACTCCCCATGTTCTCCTGGGTTTTTCTCTTCTGCTCCTTCTTGAGCTATATTATTTCTTCCAGCGCCACGCAGAGTGAAATAACAAACTGTTTTAAGAGTGAGATGTAGCCATTAGAAATTATGTCTTTGGAAAGTTTTTTTTTTTTATTAATTGAGGTACAACATTATATGCTTCAGGCGTGCAGCAGTGATTCACAATTTTAAAGATTATGTTCCATATATAGCTATTGTAAAATATTGGCTGTAATCCCTGTGAAGTAAAATATATCATTGTACCTTGTTTCATACCTGGTAGTTGGTACCTCTTAATTCTCTTCCCCTATTTTGTCCCCCTTTCCCTTTCCCCACTGGTAACCACTGATTTGTTCCCTGTATCTGTGAGTCTGTTTCTTTTTTCCTGTATTCACTAGTAATATTTTTTAACCCCACATATGTGATATCATATAGTTTTTGTCTTTCTCTGACAGAAAGTTCTTAATGATATGGGAAAGGCTGGATGGTGAACTCAACCAGGTCTCACCATGTTGTTCATTGTGTTTCCCAGCGCTCAGGGCAGGCATTCAGTGGACAAGTGATACCCATGTGTTTAAGGAATGCAGTATTGAGCTTAGAAATCTGGACACACGGCACATGCAGTGAGGTCTCAGGAAGAAGTCACAGTGTACAGTGAAAACTGGGTGGATATGGGCCCATATAGGAGCAGTAGCTGCTTTGAGATCGTGACTTTTCAGATGTTTGTCTGCATCTTTAAACTTTCCTGTATTTTCCAAATGTTTCACAGTGGACACATGCTACTTTTTTAAAGGTAAAAGTAACCAAGACAAAGCAAAAGGGTTCCCTATGACTGGATACTGAGCTCTGAGTCTCTGTTTCAACTGGACTCAGCCGCTTGACCTACACTTGAGGTCCAGCCCTCCTGTGATATCACAGGCAATGCACTTCGAAAGGCTGTTATCTCATCTGACCCAGAACTGTAGGTGACTTATCAACGTCAGGCAGAGAGCCATGTGAAACACAAGCTATGACCTCTGGTCCCTGGGTTCTTCGTTGAGACCGCTCTTCGTTTCTCTTTGCAACTACCTTCAAATCTGGAAGAATCATTTCCAAAGCTTGAGGTAGAGAACGCTTATTTCAATGAAGGTTTGACTGTGATTTCTGTTCTGGAGGACAGACATGACTGAAAAGATACAAAAGTGTCTGGCCTCCAAAGAACTAAACTAAAAGAGGCCACTTCTTGATGGTTCCAGATAGAGCTGTCAATGATTCTGGCTCCTGACAGGAATCTCGTTTCTTCAGGCTGCAGGAGGAATGTGCTTCCTGGCTGCAGGCAGAAAGGGATCAACCAACATGAGGTCTGCATGGTCTGGGCCCCAGTTCTTCTGCAATGGTTTCTTATCCACAAAAGCCTCTCTGGAGAGGGTGTCACTGCCCTAAGCTAGTCTTGTGCGGTTAGAAATAAGCTGGGCTACTTGCCATATCTCTTAAAAATAGGAAGATTTGACTGAACATGTCAATAGTTCCTGAAATTTGAAATACCATCAATTGCATCACTTTAAGAAGAATTTTATCTTGGGACTTCCCTCATGGTCCAGTGGCTAAGACTTCATCTTCCAATGCAGGGAGTGCAGGTTTGATTCCTGGTCAGGAAACTAAGATCCNAAAACCCGAACCATGAAACACATACAATATTGTAACAAATTCAATACAAACTTTAAAAATGGTCCACATTAAAGAAGAAGAATTTTATCTTTTAGAGAAAAGGTTCACACAATTTAGAAACGTTGCCTATTGTAAGACCCTGGCATTGGACATCAGTTACTCAGGATGTGTTCTAGGCACAGAGAGTGCAGAAGCTGGAGGTGGATGACGAAAGCTTGATTCAGAAGATTTCAGGCCAAAAGCATCTTGGAAACTACATACAGGGATAGTGGAACTATATCCAGAGGCCAATGGTGTCATGGAATTGAAAGAAATAGATTCTCTGCTCCTAATAAAAAAAAACTAGCTTTCTCTCTAGGAATGGAAAAGATCATATAAGCAAGGTCTGATGTATCTCTAAGGGGATGGTTCCTTTCCTCCTGTTTTTGTTTTCCTCCTGGGAAACTGTCTGACTCCTTTTCCAGATACTGTGAAAGAGATGTGGATACTGGGAAGGGAAACAGAAGGAGCCACCCTAAGGAAGGAATAGTGCTGTGGTACTGAAATTGATTTAGCTGCGCTTATTAGATTCCAGTCTCCTGAGAGTAGAGATCATTTTTAGAATTTATAAGTTTAGTCTCTTCTAGTGTTCCTATAAACAAATCTTCTTAAAGAAAAAAAAAGAGCTTATTTCTTGCTTCCTTGCAGTGTAGTTTTTCTTAAGCTAATACATCTGTTCCCTTCCCTCTTTTAGTGAAGTTTGTTATTCCAAGTTACAATATCATTTTTGAAATCTGGAAATATTTGTGGGGAAAAATGAACTGGATTGGGCAAGAGACTAATCTTAGGTAAGTTTGAAAAAAAAGCATCTTGGTGATTTGCTTGCCTGCATTGACTATGATTTGGGGTTTGAATGTTAATTCTACTTCGGTGGGTTTAGTTCAATATATAGTCCATTCTGTGTGCAGGAATGATGCAGTCTCAGTGAAGAACAGAGCTAAGAAGGACCAAGTCCTCACCCTCAGGGGCTCACATGTCAGCAGCTTCTAGAACTTTCGATTTACTACTGGAAATTTTTCTCACCCAGATCAGCAGGCACTCTTGCCAAGGTATGCAGTCATCTTTATACAGTCCAGGATGTCAGTCACCATTCACGATTTAAACACTCATTAACCCTACGGTCCACTCGAAGCTGCAGACTCACATATCTTGTGCCTGCCTGGCATCCGCCCTTGGTTTCCATGCCCGGAACAGAGTTACTTCTCTCACCGTCAGTTTGCATTCCTCCCTCCGATTTCATCCATCGTGTTAAATAACAAATCCACCCTGGGAGGATTCAGGCCCCAGCCCAGGGCTGGAAGCCTCTTCCCAAGGTGGAGGTTGGTTGTCAGCCATCCTGACAGGTGTCCCTGTGCCTTCCCGCCCCACCCCCAACTCGCTGCTCTCATTTGCAGCAACTAGAGTGAGCCTTTCAAGACTCACCTGCTCCTTGTCCTCCTGTCTCACCTAAAATAAAAACCAATCTCCCTCCAATGACCATTCAGTGTCCCTGTGTCTCTGAGAGGTCTGGCCCCCCTACCCGCATCGCGTGCCGTCTCCTGCCTCTTTCCCCCTTTTCTCCCTTGGTTTCCTTGCTGCTTCTGCTGCTGCTGCTAAGTCTCTTCAGTCGTGTCCGACTCTGTGCGACCCCATAGATGGCAGCCCACCAGGCTCCCCCGTCCCTGGGATTCTCCAGGCAAGAACACTGGAGGGGGTTGCCATTTCCTTCTCCAATGCAGGAAAGTGAAAAGTGAAAGTGAAGTCGCTCAGTCATGTCTGACTCTTCGCGACCCCATGGACTGCAGCCTACCAGGCTCCTCCGTCCATGGGATTTTCCAGGCAAGAGTGCTGGAGTGGGTTGCCAATGCCTTCGCTGTTGCTGCTTCTAGGAAACACCAAACCCATCCCTGGCCCCTCAGTTCGCGGTTCCCTCTGTCTGGAATGCTGCTGCCAGGGATGAGTGCCTTGCTCACTTTCTTCCTCAGCACTTGCTTAAATGTGACCCCACTAGTCAGACCTTCCCTAACTAACCCGTAGAAAGAGCTCCCTAACCCCCACTCCTAGCCTGCTATGATCAGTCACCCTTATTCTAGTGTATTTTTCTCTCTTAGAGCTTTATAGGCTGATGCACAGTGTGTTTCCTCGTTTCCTCACGTGTGGTCCATCTACCCGCCCCGCTCCTCCCCCATTCCCTGCCTCGAGTATGGGGCAGGGTCTCTGCTTCGTGTGTGCTCTGTCTCCCATGTCTAAGCAGGACCTAACATGTCAGCTACACTGCGCTTTCCCAGGATCAGAAAATAGAGAGCTTGGCTTGACCCTTCACATGTCCAGAACTCAAAGTTCTGCTTCGATGAAGTGCATGAGATGGGTCAGGCTTCGGGAGTTGGCTATGGGCAGGGAAGCCTGGCATGCGTGCTGCAGTCCATGGGGTCGCCAAGAGTCGGACAGGACTGAGAGACTGAACTGAACTGAACTGAACTGAACTGATGAGACGGGCCTGTTTTTTTTTTTTTAATCTTTTGCTTCATTCATAGCAAATGCAATTTTAGATTCTGTTAATTTGGGAGAGTCATTTTCTCAGAGGCTGTTTTGACATTTAAAAATATGACAAAGTCTAGTTAAATAATGTAACACTTTGCTCCTTCATCTTCCAAGTGTCTACCCTAAACTTAATCTACCTTAATCGTAAAGGTGATGTGGGCACAAAATAATGACCAGGATAACGGTGGCTTTTTATACAGTTAGACATGGCTAACTATAATTATTATTTTATTAATAAAAATCTAAGTTTTTATTCAATAGCAAGCTGAATCTCTTTTGTTCAAAACTCAATAAACTTTTTTTTTATTCTTGGAAAAATAAATAAATAGAGTTAGTTTTATTAAAGCCGAATCTTCTTTCCAGCTCACAAAGGTGTGGAATAGTCGTTCAGAGTTCAGACTCTGGAGTCGAATGAGTTCAATCCTCATTCCGCTCCATGGAGCAGAGGCAAGTTGGACAAACAGACCCATCCACACCTCATCCCCTCATGGGCAGTGATAATAATAGTTTTAAACTCACTGTGTTATCACAGGATTAAATGAGATAATGGGGATAAAGTCATTAGCATGGCTCTTAGTTATCACTCGATCAATCTCCCTTGTTTCCTTTGGCTGCCAACTCACATCACCTCATGTTGTTAAAACATGGCCTTACCTACCCTTTTCCAAATAGGACTTGGGTTGACTATAAAGCTGCACGACTTAAGAGAAGCTAGAAATCAACATCAAAGTAAGAGGAGGTTCGAATACTTTGAGGTGGTCAATTGGATTGTTTCCATTGAGCTTCTAATTAGACCCTGGACTTGCTGGTATCCCAGATTCCAGAGTTTCATAACTCTCTTTATTGAAAAGTAAAAAGAATACCAGCTCCTTAGCTCAAGATAAATTTTCCTGACACAAAACTGTGAGAACTTTTAAACTAGAATTTTATATGCAGAAAGGTGGTAGAATGGGAATTGTATTTAGATTCCATCCTGTTTTATAATAAATGTGAAAGAGGTTTCCTTAAAATTGTTTCTGATGAGTATGATGTGGCCCAAATAAATGGTTGAATTCTGGCATCAAGAGTGAAGCAGAAAGATCAAAATATTATTTTATTACTGATAAATGTGATATTGGAGAATGTGGCTCATATCTGCAGAAACGCTGGGCTTCTAGTACTGAACCCTAAAACTTGAGAGGTTTATCTAACCAATCGTAGGTAAGGTCCACCATCGACCTCATGTGTGCGGGGACCTGTTCCTGTGAGACACTTGCGGGGGCTGTGTGGAATGCCTACTTTCTGTAGGCAGGGTCACATCTGGGAGAAAGGCCAGAGAAAGGTCTGGGGTGCATGTACCCAGTTCATCATCCTAAACTTGCAGTTAAACAAGCTCCACCTCCTTCCCTGCAAAAACAGGGTATCTCACTAGTGGAGTTTCGTCCTCACATGAGAGCAGAGGCATCATCTGTATGAGGCCTCTAATGGAGACTGCCGAATGAAGCCAAGGATAGTATCCTCCAGGAGCAGTCTTGGGGTGTCTGACTTGATCCAAGGAGACAATTAAGAGTCCCTCCGGGCCCAGATAAGTCATCTTGCCTTTCCATGTTTTCTTCGATGGATTCTCTCTGTCAGGCATATACATGCTGGAAACACAACTGTGAGCAAAAAAACTGACCCTGAGCACATAAATATATGATGGCAGATGGTAGTAAATGCCACAAAGAGAAGATAGAGCCAACACTGAGAGAGTTCAGTGGAGAAGTTGCTTCAGTATGAAATTCTAAGGATTCTTTGCGGAGGATGTACACTTGGGAAGTGCAAAACTGAAAAGTGTCAGTTGCTCAGTTGTGTCCAACTCTTGGCAACCCCCTGGACTGTAGCCTGCCAGGCTCTTCTGTCCGTGGAATTCTCCAGGCAAGAAGAGTGGAGTAGGTTGCCATTCCCTTCTCCAGGGGATCTTCCTGACCAGGGATTGAACCCGGGTCTCCTGTATTGCAGGCAGATTCTTTACAGTGTGAGCCATCAGCGAACACTTTGAGTGACTTTCAAACACTGCTTTGAGGACAGGGAACAGTATGAAGGGAAGGGTATATCATGTGCAAAGCTCAGAGCTAAGAGATGTGTGGTGTGAGAAAGTTACAGAAGGTAAAGGGCAGGGTAAAGAGGGGGACAGAGACACTGCAGAGGTAGGTGGTGTATCAGTTGTTAGGGGACTGCAGGTATACTGGGCAGGTGGGTGGTGGGGGGCATTGATGTTCATCCCAAGAGCAGTGGTTTTAAGCTGAGAAGGTACCATGATAAGTCCCCAGACTTTGATGGGTGCTGACCAGGAGGCCAACTCCTGTTTGTTGTACTCGGATGAGGATCACATACTGGTGTCTGATGATGAACCACTCTGCTTTGGAGGTTCTGCTACCAATGACCTAGCTTCTGCTATGTGGCTTGAGTTGCTTCAGTTCAATTCAGTTCAATCTCACTCAGTCGTGTCCGACTCTGCGACCCCATGAACTACAGAATGCCAGGCCTCCCTGTTCATCACCAACTCCCAGAGTCCACCCAAACCCATGTCCATTGAGTCAGTGATGCCATCCAACCATCTCATCCTCTGTCGTCCCCTTCTCCTCCTGCCCTCAATCTTTCCCAGCATCAGGGTCTTTT